ATGAATTTTGAATGCTAGTGTGGTGTTTATTCATGTACACCATTTACATCACCATCACCAAAAACTCTTTCCCCCTTCTCATGGTGGTATGTGAGTAATCCTCCCTCGGGGCTAAAGGTATGTACTAGCAGTTATGTTCTCTCTCTCTCTCTCTCTCTCTCTCTCTCTCTCTCTCTCTCTCTCTCTCTCTCTCCCTCCCTCTCCCTCTCACACACACTATTGACAAAACCAAAAACTCTCACACACTATTGTATCATTGGTTTTGTCAATAGTGTTGAATCTTATGATGCATCCCTTTCTATTCTCCTTATGGTGAATTGAATCTTGCTCATTTATGAGTTTCTGTATGTTGGATTGAATCTTTTGGAATCACTGAGATTACATGACGCATGTGTAGTATAACTTATGAAGAGCCGTAGTGAAATTGGGGTAACTCTATGCATAATAGATTGGAACGATAAATATCATATGGTGTTGTCGTAGTACAATTTTTTAGGGTGCATATGGGGTAGTTCAACGGATTAAGATTTGAAAGGCGACTTTGAGATGGTTTGCTATTAGCCCATCTAAGCAATCTCATCCTAGTTAGATCCAACACAAGAGGAAACTTTGGAGCGATTCTTTACCGCACTTTTTGAGGGCATATCATGTTATTTAACTATGAATGATGTTGAGAGTCGACACTAGTGAAAGTATGAACCCTAGACCTTGTTTTCAAGCATTCAAACACGGTTTTATTCACTTTTGTTACTTGTTACCTTGTTGTTTGTATTTACTCAGATTACAAAAAGTTACTTTTCCCATCCATATTACACATATATGATCATCCCTTCGCCGAACTAGTGCAGAAGAGACCACTTGTATTTGATTGCAGGACTATTTGTCAGGGATCACTCTCATCCTAGACCTTCCGCGAACTGATAAATTTTGGGTCATCTGCTTGAGGGAAATTTACAGATGTCCTATAATCCCCTGCGATTGAAGGCCCAACAAAGTCTTCAAGAATAGAAGTGCGTAAAAGACGTCATTGACCAATGAACTCACGGTAGGAGGAGGGAGGGGGGTTGAGCGCAACCCTTTTTAGAATTTTTTTCTGAGAAAATATTGGGAAGGAGAAGAGCATTTGACATTTTCTTTTGTTGGGCCATCCCACCCAGTTTTAGTCTCGATTGTTCGTAAGACTTCCACCGCGTAAAGGCAAACCTTTTGTGACAACATATAAAACAATAATTTTACATTAAGTTCCGAATCAAATATGTCCTAGGGGATTCAGAGGAGTTGGTAAACCTACTTTGCGCATCGTTATATTGTTATGATGCAAAACAAACAAGAGGAAAGATGTATCACTGATCATAGTCCTCATAGACCAAGCTAACACCACTTCTCTATGCACATAGTGGCATCAAAACAAAAAGGGCAATTTTACATTTTTGCAGTGAAGTTTTGAGTGTTCACCTCATATGCTCACTAAAACTAAGTAGAGGTGCAAGTGAGTGATTCCAAATTGTATTTATGGGCCATGTGTTGTTGATTTCATTACCTCACCAACCATCTTTCCACTTATTTAAGTCCATGAGTACAATTGCTATAAGAGCTACCAACCCTAGCGATATATTTTATTTACTTGTCAATCATGGTACTATGTAATCTAGGTGTAGTTATGAACTTCAATGTAAGGATCCTGCACATGATCAACAATGATGGATAATGTATATGTGTAGTTAAAAACTATTTGTTGTGATATGTCTAATATTGGATTTACAAAAAGGGGATTTGCTTGGGTCGCTAAGATTGCCCGAGTTCAAAACTAGGCAAAGGCTTGCCGAGTTCCTGGCCGTGTGAACTCGGTGAATTGGATATGTGACACGTTAGCACCACACACATTGTCTTTCTAGCGAGTTCAAAATTCTTGTTTGTCGAGTTCCTGACAAGGCCAACTCAGCAAAATAGGATATGCCACATGTTAGCAGCGCACGGGTATTGAAACTCGACAAATGTTTGTGTCATGTGGCTCTGTCGTTAACTGATTGTCCCATCTAGCGCCCCCTGTTTGCTGATTTCTCCAAATAGTCAGCAATCGCCATTTAACCATTTACCGAGTTTCTAATTTCAGATACTACCTTCGTCCTGATTTATTAATCCACCTCATATTTTGTGTTAAAATTAGATCTTAAATTTCATTAATAAAATATTAATGCATGTAACAAAAAATAATATCATTAAAAATTATATTCAAATACAAATCCAACAATATAATTTTTCATGACATGCATTATATTTTTAGTTAAATCTATGATCAAAATTTAACACTAAATATTAAGGGAGCCTGTTTGCTGAGTTCTCCAAATACTCAGCGATCGCCATTTAACTGTTTGCCGAGTTTCCGATCTCAGATACTCGGCATTCGCCATTTAACTGTTTACCGAGTTCCAGATAATAAGAACTTGGCAATATTAATGACAGCCAACCTGTCCCAGCCGAGTCCCTTTTACCAAGAGCGGAACTCGGCAAACACACTGCCGACCTGTTTTTAGTTTTTGCCAAGTTTAAACGAAACTCGGCAAACACGACGGTTCCAGTAGAGCGCTAAGATTGGCCTTGGCGATGTTATGCTGCCACGGGGCGGATCAGCATAACATGGACGAACCTGGCCGGCCCAAGTGTCCATGTGTCCAACTACACCGAAAACATAACGCAGAAGGAAAAAGTACACCAAAAACATGTGTCAAATCAAGACCACGTCTTTTGTTTAACATGACCAAACAATGAGCATCCCTTGTGACTGATGCGGCGTATCCTCTGTTTCGATGAAGCCAATGCAACACTACATTTGGCGCCACGCTGACGCATTCAACTCGTCACACCATTGCCGGCGCCGCCATCGGCCAGCTGCTAGCTGATAGCTCCATTCAGAGACAAGACGCGTGCCAACGATGATTACTATACGTATAGTATACGTACGTACAGTCATCACTGAGCTCTGTCTCTCCCTCCCTATATATACGTACGTATTACTTGCAAAGCCAGAGCTAGAAGCACAACACACGAGCTGCATCCACCCCATCAGAGGCCACAAGCCAGTCATCTCGCTAGCTTGGCTGCGTACTCAGTCAGTGATGGCGTCCAAGCAGATGCTTGTCGCCGTGTTCGCCGTGGCCTTTCTCCCGGTGCTCGCCATTGCCACGGAGCACTTGGTCGGCGACGACAAGGGCTGGACCCTCAACTTCAACTACACGGCCTGGGCCGAGACCAAGCAGTTCGTCGTCGGCGACACGCTAGGTAGTCACATACCCCCGTCAATCTATTCCGCCGGCCACGCGTATGCCATTTTCTCTGCGACGCGAAACTAATTTCGTGCTAACTACTGTATAACGCAGTGTTCAAGTACGGGAGCCCCGCCCACAATCTGGTGGAGGTGGGCGGTCCAGACTTCGTCGCGTGCACCCAGACGGCCGGCGCCATCGTCAGGACCTCCGGCGAGGACCGTCTCGCGCTCGACACGGCTGGACGCCGGTGGTTCTTCTGCGGCGTCGGCCCGCACTGCAAGAGCGGCATGAAGCTCAAGATCACCGTCCTCGACACCGCCGCCCCGACTCCCCAGCCTGCCCCGACCAACCCTGCTGGCAAGCTGCAGGCGCGCTTTGGTGGCATGGCGGCCGCGGTCACCGCGCTCGCTGCGGCCATTCTCGTGCTCTAGGCTCCCACGAGACGACCCTCTACATGTTGTGGCTATACGAACCGTTGTGAATTTGAGCCCTTGAATTCTTCATCGGTTAAAGATTAATTTCATTTGTCTCTTTAGAGGAATTTCATTTGTTTATTAGCGAAGCTATCTTTCCTTGCAGTATATTTGTGAAGTTATAGAAAACAGAATTGCTATATTTTAGTCGATTGAAATTATTCGGGCTTCATTCATATTTTCATTCGTTTGATACTGCGCTGAAATTCATGCTATTTTTTTATTGAGGTAAATACATCGATAGTGCTTGAACTTGTCATCAATGTTCACTTTAGCGCCTGAACTTGAAAAATACACCGAACTGGTTTAACTTGACACGGACGGACAAATACAGTGCTAATCCTCTCCGTGGACGTAAAGTGCGTCGACGTGGCATCGTGTATGGCTAGACATGGCACTGACATGGCATGGTGCCCACTTGTAGCTACAAAACAGAATTACTTGAGTACTATATGACCCTATGACTAGTGGGCCCACCTGTCAGTAATTAGTAAGAAAATGTACATAAAAATGTACGGCACAGGCATCGAACCTGCGACCTGACGATAACACCAAACACGTTTTCATGTTAACATCAGCCCCTCATGCTTAATATATCAAAAACTCTTGTGTACATATATGTGTTGCAACTTGTGGGCCATTTTCCCCACTTTAATTTTTGATGTAAAAAATATGTCGATAATAATAATAATCATATAACCAAGATTTGAATATTCATTTTTTTAGGGGTGGGTTTGAATATTCATGTGTTATTAATAATTACTTCATGCTACACAAATATCCGTGTGATCACAAAATAAATATATGGAGGTATGTAATAAAATATCTTGCTTAAAAAGGTTTCTGTAATTTTTTAGAAAATTTAAATTATTATTTGAAAATACTATATTAAATATAATACATAAGTGTTTAATTTTTTTGTAAATACTAACATTTAAAATAGTTTTTTCTAAAAATAGTACTCCCTCTGTCCCTAGTGTCAAAAAATGTCTTACATTATGGGACGGAGTGAGTATTTTCTAAATAATAATTTAATATTTCTAAATATTACATGAATATTTTTAGTAATTTATTTTATTGTATATGGTATAACTCTATATATTTACTTTGTGTGCACATGGAGATTTGTGTGGCATGAGGTAATTTCTCATAACACATGAATATTTGATTACTACTGTTATTATTATGATTATTATTTACGTATCTTTTACATTTTAAAAAAAATAACGTGTGCAACATGGGCCAATGGCTGCAGCCTATTTCAGCACACAGAAGTTTCTAGTTCAATATATGAAGTATGTGGGCCAATTTTAACATTAAAATTTTATTATGATTATTATTTACCTATTTTTACAATTTTTAAAAAAATAAGGTGTGAAATATGGGGCCACTGGCTGCAGCGCATTTCAGGACACAAGAGTTCCCAGTTCATATATGAAGTTTGAGGGGCCAATTCTAATATTAAAATTTGTTTGTTGTGGTGGCTAGCGCGAGCAGCGTGCGAGCGTCAGTTTGCTGGTTCGACCCCTGCCTAGCGCCCTTCCATTTTATTTTTGCTAAGGTATTGATAGGCGCGCCCACTAATCATAGAGACGTATAGTATTCAAATAATTATGTTTCATAGTTAGAAGTGGGCCCCACGCCATGTCTGTGCCACATCAGCCATATACGGTTGCCACCTCGATGCACTTTACGTTTATTTTTGCTAAGGTATTGATAGGCGCCCCCACTAATCATAGAGACGTATAGTATTCAAATAATTATGTTTCATAGTTAGAAGTGGGCCCCACGCCATGTCTGTGCCACATCAGCCATATACGGTTGCCACCTCGATGCACTTTACGTCTATGGGTGTGATTAGCACTGTATTTGCACGTTCGTGCCAAGTTTTACAACTAGTTCGGCGTATTTTTCAAGTTCAGGCACTAAAGTGAACATCCATGGTAAGTTGAAGCACCACGGGTGTATTTACCTCTTTTTTATTCGTTGATGCCTTCTCTTACAGAGACCCCCCCCCCCTCCCACCCCC